CCTCATGTTACAATCTGGTTGATGAATCGACTTGTGTCAAACGTAGGGGGTGCCTGTGGGCCCGCCCAGGGATTGGGATTTGGCCTAGTCGGCAGAAAGTTGGGGTCAGGTTTCAGCCTCGTCACAGGAGGGACAAAAGTCATCAAGTTTGCTTAGAAATAATGGGGAGTTTGGCTCAGTACGTCCCTTGATCTGTTGTACAGGAAAGCTGAATGTTTGAGATTGGATTGGAGAAACGGAAACATTAACTTTAAGAGAGTAGGGCCCGGAAGGGTGGATGGCATAAAAGGGCCCTGCAGGGTGGGGGGCGGAAATGATAAAAGGGCCCGCGGGACAGGGTACCTGGGATAAAAGGGCAGGCAGGGTAGATGGGATAAAAGGGCCCGCGGGGCAGGGTAGATGGGATAAAAGGGGCGGCAGGGTAGATGGGATAAAAGGGGCGGCAGGGTAGATGGGATAAAAGGGGCGGCAGGGTAGATGGGATAAAAGGGCCCGCGGGGGGGTGGCTGGAAGGAATATGGCCTTGCGGGTTGAGGGGATCAAAGGACCCGCCAGGCAGGGTGGAAGGGATAAGGGCCTGCGGGGTGGTGGACAGATGAAGAGCGGCAGGGTGACAAGCAGTTTGGATAAAGGCCCGTGGGAATGGATGGCGGGAGAAGGGCCCTCCAGACAGGGTAGTGGAAGGCAAAAGGGCATGGTGGATGGGTGGTTTGGAAAAAGGCCTGGTGGGCGAATAGAAGGGCCCGCAAGGCAGGGTGGCTGGGAGAAGGGCCTGTGGGGCACAATGCTCGCTGGGGTTCCTTACCCAATACTGTGTCATGTACTAAATAGTTTCTATGTTCTCTACTCGCATGTGTGCAAAAAAATGCAGCTCAACAAACAGTGTGAAGGGGGGAGGGGAGCACATGGTGAGGCCGCTCCTGCTGAAGGTCAGTATAAGCCAGTTTGTGGTTTCCGATGTCATTTGTTCAGTGGCTTCTTATTGGGGTCTTGGGGAACCGTGGGGGGCACATATCAATCCAGTCACATGACAAGCGAGCGGTGAGACTGAGGGACCGGTTTATTATTAGGTCACGGGTTAGTTCTTCCCTCCCTCGGCTGCTGCAGAATAAAACCCGACCCCGACCACTCCTGACTTATGCGTCGCTGTAGAGTGGAAAGAAAAGTCACTTGGGTGGAACCTTCTCTGGATTATTACCGGTGTCTCACCACTGGAGGTTCCCCCTCCTAGTCTGACATGTTGTCCCACGACAGGAAGTGAAGGAAATCCCCCCCCCCCAAATGGACATGATGAAACCCTGATCTGGGTTTCTGACCATTCTCTACTGACCAGTCACTCCTCACTTGCTAAGTTCTGTGTACCGTTTGAGCTATTGGGCTTTATAAATGGGCAGTTAAGGAGGGGCGGCTGAAGAGAAGCCTCCAGCTCTACTGGCTGGTAATGGGCACTCAATATTATGCGTTATCAACTATAGGATCCAGACTTCTACCTTACCCAAGGGCAGCGGGCGGCCCGTCTTGTAACCCAAGGGCAGTGGTTGGCCGTTTGCACCAATTTTTCAGACTAAAGTGTGACCCTTGAGGCCGACAAAAGCCACGATCTTCACCTGCTCTCCCTCATCCGTCCAATGGATTTGTCCATGATGATGGTGATGATGTCATACCCCTATAGCCTTGTATGTTGGCGGCTTTCTGGGCTAACCACGAATTGTCTTTTCTTTTTCTTAGAACTTTGACAAGCTGAATGTTCGGACAGCACACTACACCCCGATTCCGTCCGGCTCCAACCCCCTGAAGAGAGACATTTCCGAGTATATTAAGTAAGTGTTGAGGTATGTGATGTGTCTTGTGAGAGACTTGCAACGTTTTGTTTTTTTTACTTTTGGAGTTGCTCTTGTGTACTTTTTAGTGTTGGAGTCATGTACCACTTTTCCTTTCTGTGAAGTTGCCCCAGTGGTCACATTTACATTCCTGCAATAAAAATTATGCGTCTGGGACTGCGTATGTGTAAGGCTTTGGTGTCTGAATGCCTTTGATCCACCACGTGGAGAAGACGGGGTGACGGTCCCAGGACATGTCTACAATTGCAGTTTTACCTATTCCCGTCCTCGTGGGTTCTCCAGCCACGGCCTCCCTTGCTGCTGTATAGTGAACCGTCCTGGCAGCAATGCTGGTGGTGCCATAGCTACCTGTTTAGAAGCTTGTAGTTCCCGGACGTTCAGTGGTCTGGCATTAGTGACCTAGAATCCAGAGGATCCATATGATGGGGAAGGAGAAACCTATGGTCAGTGCCAACCTTCATTTGTCTGTTATGGCTTCAATTTGGTCCTCTTGTGGAACATAGTACCTGCTTGGAGGACTTTGGTGATTCAGTGGTCACCCAGTTCCCCTCTAAATCTGCTTTAAAGGAGAACTATGGGGTCAGGGCTTTTCCCCATAGTTCTCCTAAGGGTAACGGGAGGACACAAACTAGCGTCCTCCCGTCACCCAAAGCTCAGTATACTGTGAGCTACGGCTCCCTATATACTGAGACGCCGGAACGGATCCTGGCAATGCTGTCTGGATCCACCCAGCTGCGTGAGTGACCCTCCCCCGTCCGTTCTGCCAGTCAGCGCTGGAGGATAGGACGGGGGAATCCCTGCAGGGAGCAGTGAGTGACGGTCACAGCTCTCTGCAGGGATAGATGGAGAAGTGAGCGAGCAACGGTATGTATTTGCTCACTTCCCGATCTACTGAGCCGACCTGTGGCAGTTTCATTGTCACACGTCGGCACTGATTATGAGGCTGAGTGAAAATCGCTCACCTCATAATTCTCCTTTTTAATCATAAAATGTTGTGAACTTGTGTTTTTGGCTAAAACGAAGGCAGAAAGCCCAGGAACTGTCCAAGCCTTGACAGAATGGCCAGGCATTTGGACATAAGGCACTTGGTGGCTGTTTCGGTTATATGCCGCTACCCTGCCCCATGACGGTTGCATTAGGGATGACAGCCAAAAACAAAACTCCAGTCTTAAAGATTATGCCATAAAGCGCGGTGTTGGATCTCATCGTCTTAGTTGACGGCTTAGTAGACCTTTTTGTGTCGGGTTTGTCTCCTTCACTCTCTCGCGTTGTATTTGACTTTGGTTCCATTGTTGTGTTTTAGAACAGGATTCATAAACCTCGATAAACCAGCCAACCCATCATCACACGAGGTGGTAGCATGGATCCGAAGAATTCTACGCGTGGAGAAAACCGGTCACAGCGGCACGTTGGACCCGAAGGTGACGGGCTGTTTGATTGTATGCATCGACCGCGCAACCAGACTCGTCAAATCCCAGCAGAGCGCTGGTGAGTTGTCCTTGGTGGTAATGTTCACCTAGGAAAACCGCGACTGCTCAGATTTTGGTCAAGATCCATTTTTTATCATCTTGGGAGACCCTGTGTGGTCTGCTGAATTGGAAGACGCATATTTTTGACTAAAGTAATAAAGAGTAATAGATTTTTGGTGTCTTTTTCTTTGAAACTTCAGCTAACTTCTCCCTTTCTGGTTCCTAGGCAAAGAATATGTCGGTATTGTGCGACTTCACAACGCTCTGGAGAACGAGCAGCAGCTTTCAAGGGTAAGGCATTTGACGGTTACTCATCATTATTGGGCATCGTCGGGCTACCAGGGGAATCCTTTGTTTACATGCTGTATGTGTGTAAGCCTCCAGTACACATGATGACAAAGTTTATCCATTCTCAGAACCTACGGCTGTCTCTGATGCACTCGGTGACTTTTTGGAACCGGGTGTGCTCTTGACCATGGAACTTGTTGCATTGCGTCCTGCAGTGTGACGGGGGCCATGGTGAGCACAAGAGCAGGAGATGTGGCCTGTGGTCAGGAAGAGGTTTTACTGTCTGATAAAGCTGGAGATATGGTCTTTGGTCAAGAAGAGGTCTGATAAAGCTAGACGTATGGGTTGTTGTCAAAAAGAGGTCTGCTGCCTCCTAAAGCTGGAGACTATGGCCTCTGATAAAGAAGGATCTCATGACTAATGTAGCTGGAGATATGGTCTCTTTTCAAGAAGGGTCTACTGGCAGGAGATGCAGTCTCTGGTCAAGGAGGGGTCTACCGGCTGATGAAGCTCGAGATATGACCTTTGGTCAAGAAGAGGTTTTACGGTCTCCTGAAGCTGGAGATATGGCCTCCTGGTCAAGAAGAGGTCCACAGTCTGATAAAGCTGCAGATATGGTCTCTGGTCAAGCAGAGGTCTGATAACGCTAGATATATGGTCTGTGGTCAAAAAGGTCTACTGCCTCCTAAAGCAGGAGATCTAGCCTCTGGTCAAGAAGGGTCTACTGGCTGATGAAGCTGGAGATATGGCCTCTGGTCCAGAAGAGGTCTGATAAAGCTGGGGGGTGTAAAGTGAGTATTTTATGTAAAGTTTGCTAGAATTGGCCCTATTACATGCCCCATTTTTTTTCCCCAGGCTATGGAGACACTCACCGGTGCCCTCTTTCAGCGACCGCCTCTAATAGCTGCTGTGAAGAGACAGCTGCGTGTAAGAACAATTTATGAGAGCAAACTCATAGAATACGATCCAGAGCGTCGACTAGGTAAATGAGCAGAAGACAAACGTGGGGTAACTGGTTGTAGGAGCTACTAGTGTGATCGGGGGGGGGGGGGGGGGGGGGTTTTTGCAAGCCTACCTGCAATCCTTGTACCTCAGACACAGCTGGCATTGAAATCCCCAGTTTTGGTCATTAATGGGAGGGGTTATGTCACTCTTGGTCATGTAACAAAATCCAAGTGCCATCCGCACTCCTACGATCTTGTATTCCAAAAGGCATCTGTAGAACGCTCAAGGTGACCGCACAGATGGCGCCGTGCAAACATCAATAGTAGATTCCCTGAGTGTGTGCCGGTGAAACGCTTGAATATACTCTTGGTCGTGTGACCATTTTAGAGCCAAGCGCTGTTGTAGGTACGGAAGTCATGCTCTCGCTCATGTCCCGTTGTTGCCAGCTGGAAAGGCAGTCAAGAGCAGCCAGGTATCTGGTTTGGGCAAAGGGGGGCCCTTTACAAATATGGTCACTTGCTCAGAGTGGCAAATGCACATCTTTGCCCATCATGGGGTAGTGTAGAGTACAGTTGTGCCATTGGAAAGCAAAAGTGCATGCAGTCCATGGTGCACAGTAGATGCCACTGCTTTAGAAGCTTGATCCTGAATTTCGGGCTGAAGTGGGTAATATGCTTTCTGTTGAATACACCCGGCAGGTAATTTGCTCTTTGCGATATATAGAAGCATTGCTACCTTGAGCCAAATGATGAATTGGATATCTCATGAGCTTTGTGATGCTGACTAATCATCTATCACCCAATGACTGATGGCTCTGATTGCTGTGATCCTGATGTCTGACTGAAAACCTTGCTCTTGTTTCAGTTTTATACATCTTGTTTTCCCCTTTGCGTCCTAGGTATATTCTGGGTAAGCTGCGAAGCGGGGACGTACATCCGTACCCTGTGCGTTCACCTTGGCTTGCTGCTCGGGGTTGGAGGACAGATGCAGGAGCTGCGCCGAGTTCGTTCGGGTGTCCAAGGCGAGAAGGTAACTACCACGTCTCATCGTTCACCCCAAAAGCGTTGAGTTCAGCCACAGGTTCCTCCCTGGGGCTGGTAATTGGCTTTGGGACAGAAACAAGCTTGCAGGACTTAAGGCCAAATTTTTGGTCTTGCCTGGAGCTGACACGCCTAGTTGATCAGCAAAGCTACCAAGATCCGGTCTGAAGGTTGTGTTTTTCCTTTAATCTAGGATAACCTTGTCACGATGCACGACGTGTTGGATGCTCAGTGGCAGTACGACAACAATAAAGATGAAAGCTACCTTCGTAGGGTTGTCTTTCCACTGGAAAAGCTGATGGTGTCCCATAAAAGATTGGTGATGAAGGACAGTGCGGTAAGTAGCAGAGCGGTCTTCTGTCGGACTTGGAGAGATTGACACCAAATGGCTTTCTTCATGGTAGTGGTCTCTCAATTTCAGGTTAATGCGATCTGTTATGGAGCAAAGATCATGCTGCCCGGACTTCTGAGATATGAGGACGGCATAGAAATGAATCAGGATATCGTGGTGATAACAACCAAAGGAGAAGCCATCTGCATTGGTGAGTTTTAATGTACGGTATGTGTGTAATGTACAACATATGGCCAAAGCTTTTTGAACACCTGACCATCACACCTATGAGCCAGTTGGGCGGGCCCATTCCATAACCATGGCCGGTTGGGCCGGCCCATTCCATGGCCATTAATATGCAGTTTGTGGCTATAAAATCCTCCGCTCTTCTATGAAGACTTTCTACAAGATTTTGGAGGGTGTCTAGGAATCGGTCCTATTGGTGAAGTACTGATGTTGGATGAGAAGACCAGGATCACAATCGGTGTTCAGTAGGGTTGAGGTCAGGACACCAGTTCCTCCACACCAAGCTGGTCACACCATGTCTTTATGGAGCTGGCTTTGTACACAGGGGACAGTCATGGTGGAACTGACAAGGTTCTTCACCAAACTGTGACCACAAGGTTGGAAGAGAACAATTGTCTACAATGTCTTTGATGTTGGGTTAACAGAACCCTTCACTGAAAACCAACTTGATCTTTTGGAGGGGGTCACCACACCCTTTTGGCCATATTGTGTATATTACAACGTTTATAATGTATGTTTTGTGACATGATGACAAAGTTCATCCATTCTCTGAGCTGCTGGACATACTTGAATTGTTCTGGATTCATTCGGAACCCTTCTTTCCTAATGGTACAGGTGCTGCGTCTTGCAGTATTTCGTACACATGGGTAAGATTGGCCAAGATGTCTCAAGTGGTAAAGATGAGATGAGCAGATCTGATCACAATGCTGAAGAACAACTTTTTACCTTGTTTGTGTTTCTTCTGCTTTTTCTAACTTGTTTTACTTTTATGTTTTGCTTGTTGGGTACAGGTACTGCCCTCATGACCACTGCAGTGATCTCCACGTGTGACCACGGTATTGTGGCGAAGATTAAACGCGTCATTATGGAGAGGGACATTTATCCACGCAAGTGGGGTCTGGGTCCTAAGGTGAGATTAAACCTGCTGCAAAGGTGGGGGGGGGGGGGGGGATTATCCACACCATTGGGGCCTGGCTTCTCGGGTGAGATTAAACCGGCAAAGGTCACGTGGGGTGATATATTGTGCATGGAGAGGGACACTTATCCACACAGATGGGGTCCTAAGGTGAGATTAAACCTGCTGCAAAGGTGGGGGGGTGCATTGAGGGACACATTCACGCAAGTGGGGCCTGGGTTCGTCATGGAGAGGGATATTTATCCACACAGATGGGGTTCTCAGGTGAGATTAAACTTGCTGCGAAGGTGGTGGAGGGGATATATTGTGTATGGAGAGGGAGACACCTATTCACACAAGTGGGGGTGCCTGGGGTTCTTGGGGGAGATCTAACCTGCTGCAAAGGTGGTGGAGGGGGGAGTTGATATACTGTGCATTGAGAGGGACATTTATCCATGCAAGTGGGGTCTGCTGCAAAGGTGGCAGGGGGTGATATATTAATTTAGAGGGACACCTCCACAGAAGTGGGGCCTGGGGTTTGTAGGTGAGATTAAACCTGCTGCAAAGGGGGGTTGAGGTATATTGTGCATGGAGAGGGGCACCCATCTACACATGGTGTGATTGAACATATACAGGGTGTATTTCCATATTGCCGTTCCCTAGAGCAGCCTTCAGGGTTATGCCCTTTGCCGTTGGAGCCATATGATGTAAATGTAGATGGATGAATCTTGAATAATGATGACTTTTCATCTATCACCCTATAACTGATGGCTCCCGCAGAGATGGCTTGGCTGTCTCTATGGGTGGGGGACATTGATATATATAGGACCCTCCATTGTAGGGTTGCCATTAACGTCGCTCCATTTGTTCCCAGGCAAGTCAGAAGAAGATGATGATTCAGAAGGGTCTGCTCGACAAACACGGCAAAGCCAATGAAAATACTCCAGACCGTTGGCGGGACGAGTACGTTGACTACGGGTAAGGCACGGTGTTTGCCCAGGGTGCATGTAGCCTCCCATGATGCTTTGCTCTTGTCTAGCTGCCAACTACAAGACCTGAACACTGGCATGACTGGTGTGGCGGATGCAGCAGAAGTGGGTTGGGGGATTAAAGAAACACTTAGCTCTTGCAGGACTGTGCAGCCCCAATGGGGTCATTGGTGTTTCGGGGGTGGGGATATTATATTAGGATATGTAATTCTATATCATCGAATTCTAATATGTACATCAAAACTGTATTTTTTGCAGTGCCCGGCCGAAACCGGCGGTAGAGACCCCTGCGCCTGCTAAGGTATGTGTTGGCGATATTGCAGACTGTATCCCGCAGGAAGTTATCCCCCTCTCATATGCTGGTGGTGTTATGGGGGAGTCATCCTGCAAAATGAACTGGCTGCTGCCAGGCTTCAGATCACACTATTCACTGAGTCAGTGTTGCAGCTTAGTCTTTAGATATGGTGGCTGCATTGGGTGTGTCTCCTACCCCCCCCTGGAAATAACACACCATGTCCCTGGGTGGGTATGCTTAAACCTCCACTGTATCTATGGAGGGAGCCATGGTTGTTAACCAGGTTGGACTTCAGCCATATCTTCCTTTCCATCTCCATTGCATGGGGAGGATTAGTAGTTGCCCGGGGGAGGATTAGTAGTTGCCTGGGGGAGGGGAGGGGGGGCTTAGTAGTTGCCCGGGGGAGTATAGGGGGGCTTAGTAGTTGCCCGGGGGAGGATAGGGGGGCTTAGTAGTTGCCCGGGGGAGGATATATCTATATATAGATCTATCACTGCTGCTCCGGTATGTGACCGTCCTTGGTATGGAATCTATCTTTAATAAAAGATAATGACTGATCTGCCAGAGGCTGTGTATTATGATTGTCAACTCTCCAATTTTCCATTTTCAGAGAAAGCATGTGAGTGACACGGAGAGCGACGCAGCGACTCCAAAGCAATCACAGAAAAAGAAAAAGGTATTCAACAATAACTTCACCTTCATCATGGCGGCTCCTCGCTGCACTACAAACTGCTTTAGATGGGTCTTAGTAGTGTTAAAGCTGACCTCCGGCCCTTCCCTTCAGGCTCCTGCCTGACCTCCGGCCCTTCCCTTCAGGCTCCTGCCTGACCTCCGGCCCTTCCCTTCAGGCTCCTGCCTGACCTCCGGCCCTTCCCTTCAGGCTCCTGCCTGACCTCCGGCCCTTCCCTTCAGGCTCCTGCCTGACCTCCGGCCCTTCCCTCCAGGCTCCTGCCTGACCTCCGGCCCTTCCCTCCAGGCCTGGAATGGCATCCTCTGACTCCACTGCACACTGGGAGCTTCTCGCAATATGCATTAGAAGCTGCAGCAAGTCAGAGCCCACCTCATTTCCTGGCCGGCTGGACACCCAGCATCATCTAGGCCTCTGACTGGCCCCGCCTCTTTCATTCATTGATTTTTAAGTTGCTTCAATTATGGAAGCTCCAATACCATGTGGGCGTTACCTAGGGTGGTCTGCATGCAATTACTGCCTACCTAGGCTGTACCTCCAGACAGACTTACACCCCAACATACCTCCTCCCAAGAGCCAGTCCACTGCTTGTATCAAGGCTGAGGGCTCTTGGGGAAGAGTACAGAGCCAGGGTCCTGTGATTTCAGGATGCTATGTACAGCACCCTGCTGGCTCCTCCCACCAGCCATGATCTGCCAGCGTTGCATAGTGAGGACTGTGGTGTCATTGGGTCTCAAATTTTTTCATTGCAACATTTTAGTTTTAACCTTTTTTTTTTTTATGTTGATTTGGGTTGAGGGATCAACAAGAGAAGGTTTCTGTACATTACACTTCAGCTTTAACATAAAGCAGTGTGGCATGCCGGCAGCATTATAGAGTCGGGACTCTTCTAACTCCCATGTGTCAATCTTGTGTCTTCCAGAAGAAGCAGCAGGAGGAGGAAGCAGCCGCCGCCGAAGAGGAAGTGCAGGTCAAGGTAAGGAGATTCTGTAAACTTCTCTACAGACAATGGGGATTTCAGAAGCTGCGGCGTGGACAGAAGTTGTACACAGAGATGGCGGACAATGACTCCTGCCCAGGGGCGCCCCCAGGCGTGGTGTCACCCGGCGTGACACCCTGCTGGGGTGTCATTGCACAACAGTGATGTCATCACGGACATGTGTAATGATGGCATTCGTGCTTACCTGCTGGCGTCCCATCACCGAGAGGGGCTGTTCAACTGGTGGCATAAGGTGTGCCGCCAAGGTCCCCTCTCTTGTGCAACAGTCCATGACCAAGTGCCCGACTTCTCACAGGGGGGTCACACCCAAATTGTAATTTTGGTGTCACCCGTTGTGGGCCACACCCCCTTGTGATCCATGATTTCTACCGGTAACTTTTATTGTCACCAGGAATAGTCATTTTACCCGTTTTAGGTGATGGCGGGTCATTGACAATCGCCAATAATGGCTGAACACTGATTATTGGTCTGCTTCATGGTTCTAAACTACACCCCATTCCCTAGCCCGTGCCCCGCCCCATATGCCCCCCCCCCACGATCCTTACTAGAGGTGTGACCTGATCTTCTTGCACAGAACCGGGCTCCACTTCCTGCAGTAGACTAGCAGAGGACCCGAGCTCCCCGCTGCCAGTGTGCTCTTGGACGGGCTCCATTGTTCTCTGGCAGTCACAGATAATCTGTTTTCTTCTAGGAGGAGGAGGAGGAGGGCGGCGCCGAGGAATGTACTGAAGTCAAAAAGAAAAAGAAGAAAAAACACAAAATAGTACAAGAGGAGGAACAAGCTAATGGTGTACTCCATCCACAATCCTAACCTAGTGGAGATGCAGAGTATGGTGGGAGTCGACCTATAGCTAAACTCAGACAGAACCTAACCAGGGTGGGCTTTGCAATGCGGGGGTGGTGTAGGGTTGGCGAGGTATACTGTGATTAGGGTTGGGGAGGGGAGGTATAGTGTGATGGTTGGGGAGGTGGTCTAGGGAGGTGAGGTATAGTGTGATGATGGTTGGGGAGATGGTCTAGGGTTGGGGAGGTGGTGTAGGGTTGGCGAGGTATACTGTGGTGTAGGGTTGGGGAGGTGAGGTATAGTGTGATGAGGGTTGGGGAGATGGTCTAGGGTAGAAGTATACTGTGGTGAGGGGGAGGTGATTAGGATGGGTGGCACACGGTGGTGAGGACCATCGGGGAAGGAATGTGACTTTGCCGTCACTGATCAGGTGGCGAGGCCTCTGCCCCAGGTCTGTACTTTGTCTTGCGGTCTCCGGTTTACATATCCGCTTCTTTCTCTCGATAGGCAACCAAAAGCGCGAAGAAGAAAAAGAAGAAACGCCGAGAAGAAGACGAGTGACGAGACTCGTGTAACCGGCTTTGAGTTCACAATGGTGGACTGCGTATCCCGCTCCTGTACTGCCAAGGACTCGATCAAATACCCTTTGTCCTGTTTTAAGGATTGTACAGACTCCTCCCCCTTTTTTTTGATTTATGTTTTCATTTTGTAACATTGGCGGGGGCGTTGGGATATTACGATGGCGCTCCTTTTTTACTTTTCTCCATGTTGTACCGTGGAGATCCGCCTGCAATGGGGTTTTTTTTGGCATCTTTTAGTAAATCGCAAAACTTCAATGATTTCCCGTCTGGTTTCTTTGGTCTCGCCGTTTTTACTTTAAGCGTTTGTTTAATTTTCTAATAAAATGGCTTCTGCCTTCAAAGCTGACCTTGAATGTTTTAGGGGCCACTGTATTAGGGTGGCATACTCCACTGGGGCCACTGTATTAGGGTGGCATACTCCACTGGGGCCACTGTATTAGGGTGGCATACTCCACTGGGGCCACTGTATTAGGGTGGCATACTCCACTGGGGCACATTAATGGAGCCTCGTGGTGCCCTATAGGGTTCTTTGCTGGCCCAGGAAGGGAGCGGGTCATGTCACTGATGGGTCACATGACCATGTTACACT